CCGCACGCGCCATGCAGCGATCGTTTCGGCGTCTGCTCTATTTTTTTCGCAAGCGGCGAGTGAACCGCGTCAATTCTGGCAGGAAGTCAAACCAAGACATAAGAGGCAGGCCGGTAAATTTAACAAAATAAAGCATTTCAAAATAAAATTCCGGGATAGTCAAATGTGTCTGTAAACAGACACTGCATAAAAACCACACGAACACACACACACACACACACGCACACACAACGAACTTGCGTGTGTGTGACCACGTGAAGGGGGTGTGTCTTTGGGTGTCTTTCAACCGGAGCAAACAGGACAGAGAGGCAGAAAGTCATAGGCCAGCTATTAACAACTGGATCACACCATAGGTTCACACACATGCGGACAAACACACACAAACAGCAAGGGGGAGGGGTGTGTGGAGGAAAAGAGCAGAAAAAAGGCAGAGAGGAAATGGAGGACACCAAGTGGTTAAAAGAAAAACTACAGCTGAGCCGAGGACTGAACTGAGGAGCAGCGGCCGAATTTCGTGAACGCTTCGCCTCCCGGCGCTTCGCGGCACTTCGGCGGCCGGTGTGTCCCAGGCATAATGGTGGTGCTGTTGACGAATTTAAAGGAAGCGGTATCCTGACCAATCACAAGCTTGAAGTCTCCGTCACTTTTGACGAATATGTTAAAATTTAGACGTGTCTCCGTCACCCTCTGTGAGCCTGTTGAGAACCCTTGCGCCGACGCATAATGGTGTTGTGTGTCTCTGCACTGATGCAGACAGAGAAGTATAAATAAGGCTAAAGAAGTCTGCCGCATCAGCCACGTCTGTCGCACCTGCTGCATTGCTCGTCTCCCTCTCCCCCGCAGCCTTGTGTGCGCCATCACAGTTACAAACAACTTTCAGCTTTTAATCCAGTGATCACATGTATTCATAGCGGAGCAAGTAATCCAAGGGGAAGGAGAAAAATGTCCCCAAAACAACAAGACTCCCATGGAGAGAACAAGCCCCATCCCCTGTACACTGTTTAGCAGGAGGAGGAAAACTTTCATGTCAAAGCGCAAACGTAAAATGCATATTATTATGTCTTCTTATTTGTCCCTAAACAGCTATGGTATTTTAAGATGGCACGTGACTATGGAGCGTTGACCATCGTTTATGTTTATAAAAATGTAAAACTTCAAGCTAATGGGAATATTTAGAATAGACAAATCCTAATGAAAAGGGGTGTGTGAATGTGATACAGTTTGAAAGCAAACAAGTAAAACTATTGCCCACTGTGCCTTTAAGACCAGTAAATCATCTAAAGAGTTTGCATCAATTTTTTGCAAAACTGATAAATATTTTGTGAAAATTACAACTAGCGTTGTTCCCTGCTGCCCCCTGCTGATTATTAAACATTTAAGTATTTCTGGATTGGCCTCATTTATCAGGTTAAGAGTTTCACCTCCATAAACAATCTAAAAAAAAAACATTAAAAATTGAACAGAGTCTCATCATTCAGCTTCATTTAGTGGAAATACCAGAGAAATGCACAGTGAGATCCAGATTGAATTAAAAAGAGAAAAATATGCATTCAACGAGCAGACTGTCAGCCAAAGCTACTGAGGCTTTTTCAGTGGATTCCTGTTAACAGAGCTTAAATCTTGTTGTATCAATTAAGCTAGAGCAAATCACCTGAGCTTGCTGTTAAGAGCAGAGAGAACAAAAATGAGCCAGATGACTAAATATAGATAAATGATGAAATGGTGATACTGTTTAAGGAAGAGGGCTGGACTGAATTAGATATAATCTACCAAAGCAGCACAGACGCACATCTACGACATCAATTGGTCCCTCTGCTAAATGGCTGCACACTGTGAGGAGACCTGCTCTACAACTTCAGGGCTCTTATTACCATGTGACTAACCTCCTCAGGATTAACCGGGGCAGCAAAGACAAGGGAAAAGTCAAAGGTCAGCAGTCAGACAGCTCCAGCAGCATAAAGAGTGGCCTATTAAACAAAAGGCCACTCTCCAATCTGCCTTCCTGTCTTCCAGCTTCCTGCTGAACCATACTGCTGGCATTCATCGTGCTGCACTCATCACTGTGTGTCGGGGTTAAACTCCAACAGCATGCAAGGTCACGTGTCTTTTTATCAAGGAAATACAAAGAGGGCTTGTTGTAATCGATTTAAAACAGGGCATTTGGATCACACAAAAATTGTTACCAAACACACTGTGTGTTAAAAACCCTGAGACAGACTGCAGGTGAGACTGCAACAGGTGAGGGAGTCAAGAAATAACTAGGGATGCACAGCCACCAAAGATTTTCGGCTGAAACTGACTCAAAAGTGCATTTTCAGTTTTCACCCCAAGGACCTAAATAAAAGAAACAACATGGCGGAAACAGGCCATAGAGATTAAAGGTAAAAACTACAAATTGTCACTTTAAGAAGTGGAACGGGCACGTGTTTAATGTTAAAATATTTGTTTTCACTTTACAGCCTTTGTTGATAAAGGCCTACAGACTATGGCCATCTTGGTTTTGACACACTTTTATGTTGTAGGTCTGCAGAGAAAATACTGTTATTTCTGTCAGCAGTTGCACTTTGTTCTAGTCTTTTGCAGCATGTAGTCCTACACAGAACAATGTAAAAGGCACTTCATACTGTGTTTTATGTATATAATTTATAGTTATTTCTATCTTGAATTTTTATTTATATTGTGCACATGTCAGTGCTAAATAAATGTTTTCATAGTTTCGTAATTGATTTATTGCAATGCCTTAGTGAGCTTAGTACATATCGTAACCATAAATGCTGACATAATCATTTCTTTTAGTGTTTCGGTTTTTGGCCTTGGTTTCCTCATTTTTGATTTTCGGTTTTGGCCGAGAATTTTCATTTCGGTGCATCCCTAGCAAAAAACATCCCACTCTGCCACTTGTAGAGGCTGTTTGCATCCTCTAGTGGGAAGAGTGGGTGAAGAAAATAATTTACCATGAAACACTTTGTATTAGGGATGCACCGATACCAATACTGGTATACCGATACTGGTACCGGTATACCAGTATCGGTACAGATACCAGTAGAGGTATCGGTAAAAATTAACCGATACCAGGAACTGATACCAATGCAGTTGCTTGAAAGTGGTTTCACTGTAAATTTTCATTTCTGTTCACCTAATATTTTAGTTTTGTGATCATTTCTATTCATATATTTTACTTTTTATCTATCTCACAGTCTTTTCCTGTTGAAAGCAGAGAAGAAAATAAAACCTGTATTCCAATTCATGCATTTTTTGGTGTGGTATTGGTAATCGGTATTGGCGAGTACTCAAATCCAAGTATCAGTATCATATCAGTTTGGAAAAAAGTGGTATCGTTGCATCCCTACTTTGTATAATTGATCAAGTTTGCTGATGAGCTTTCTAATCTGGACTACTTTAGGAGAGTGAATGACTTGTTTGATTAGTAATCCAAGAGTAATCTGTCATCCATGTGTGCCGTTTCTTGTAAATGGGTTTATTTTATGTCAGGCTTTCCAGTTAAATGATAAAACTCTCTAAAACTTTTAAGAGGAATGTATACTAAGCCATAAAGCTTCCCACCACCTCATCAAATGAGAGAAATAAGGCATTTAGTAGATTTTACTCTCGTCGTCGTCGTCTTCCTCCGCTTATCCTGGTCCGGGTCGCGGGGGCAGCATCCCAACTAGGGAGCTCCAGGCCGTCCTCTCCCCGGCCTTGTCCACCAGTTCCTCCGGCAGGACCCCAAGGCGTTCCCAGACCAGATTGGAGATGTAACCTGTCCAACGTGTCCTGGGTCGACCCGGGGGCCTTCTGCCGGCAGGACATGCCCGAAACACCTCCCCGGGGAGGCGTCCAGGAGGCATCCTGACCAGATGCCCAAACCACCTCAACTGACTCCTTTCGGTCCGGAGGAGCAGCGGTTCTACTCCGAGTCCCTCCCGAATGTCCGAGCTCCTCACCCTATCTCTAAGGCTGAGCCCGGCCACCCTACGGAGGAAACTCATTTCGGCCGCTTGTATCCGCGATCTCGTTCTTTCGGTCATTACCCAAAGCTCATGACCATAGGTGAGGATTGGGACGTAGATCGACCGGTAAATCGAGAGCCTGGCTTTCTGGCTCAGCTCCCTCTTCCCCACGACAGATCGGCTCAGCGTCCGCATCACTGCAGACGCCGAACCAATCCGCCTGTCGATCTCCCGATCCCTCCTACCCTCACTCGTGAACAAGACCCCGAGATACTTAAACTCCTCCACTTGAGGTAGGACCTCTCCCCCAACCCGGAGGTGGCAAGCCACCCTTTTCCGGTCGAGAACCATGGTCTCGGATTTGGAGGTGCTGATCCTCATCCCAGCCGCTTCACATTCAGCCGCGAACCTACCCAGCAAGAGCTGAAGGTCAGAGCTGGATGAAGCTAGGAGGACCACATCATCCGCAAAAAGCAGAGACGAGATTCTCCTGCCACCAAACTCGACACACTCCACACCACGGCTGCGTCTAGAAATTCTGTCCATAAAGGTAATGAACAGAACCGGTGACAAAGGGCAGCCCTGGCGGAGTCTAACCCTCACTAGGAACAGGTCCGACTTACTACCGGCTATGCGGACCAAACTCACGCTCCTCTGGTAAAGGGACTGAATGGCCCTTAACAGAAAGCCACCCACCCCATACTCCTGGAGCCTCCCCCACAGGGTGCCCCTGGGGACACGGTCATAAGCCTTCTCCAAATCCACAAAGCACATGTGGATTGGTTGGGCAAACTCCCATGCCCCCTCCATCACCCTTGCAAGGGTATAGAGCTGGTCCACGTTCCACGGCCAGGACGAAAACCACATTGCTCCTCCTCTATCTGAGATTTACTCTGGAACTTGAATCTAATCAACATGATTGTGTTTTTTATGGTTACATCTTTAAATAAGCAACTTATTCAGAATTCATTATTGATATATATATATATATATATATATATATATATATATATATATATATACATATATATATATATATTTAACCTTGTGGTAAATAACATGGAAATAATCAAAAGTCATCTTTTTTGTCCTCCAGCACAAACAGTATCTTTTCTGCAGGATCTCAGTGACGGACCAATAAACCAATTCACTTTTTTTTTCTTTGGCTGGTTTGTTGCAATTTTTAACAAAATTCTTAATTTATTCATATTTATTTAATGGTCCATAATTAGTCAGTGTGAGATTGATAAGAGTTTAGGTTCACATTTTAAAAGTGTGAATAGTGAATAAACAAAGCTGTAAAGAGTGTTTCTGTTCATGTTTGATAAAAGTATCTGAATGCAGTCTGACTTTAAGAATCAGATACACTCCGAGAATAATTGTGAGATCATTTAAAATCAGACTAATAGCATTGTACTCCTTAATACTTTCCCAGAAATGTATTTGTTCAATGTTTTTAGTATGAGCATGAAAATGAGAAATCAAAGAAACAGAAGACGAGTTCTTACCAGGAATTAAAGCTGAATAATCTGCATTCACTGAGACACTGAGAGGAAATCCTTTCATATTCCTCCTTTTTGTAATCTTATCTGATTGTTCTCCATCTCTTCGTTTACCAGGCACACAGAAGAAGACATGTATTAAATCTCCCTTAAAACTGAGGTTACTTTTTTTTAGCTTTCCTGTTTTTTATTAAAAAAAAAAGCAAAGCTCCAGTGCAACTTATTGCTTCTTTGAGCCAACGAATCAATCTGTGCGCCCACACACACGCACGCACACACACACACACACACACACACACACGCACGCACGCACGCACGCACACACACACACACACACACATACACACACACACACACACACACACACACACACACACACACATTATATTAAAGAGTGTACGTGCACACTCCAAAGCACAGCTTCTTACACACAACCACACATCAACCGAACCAATCGTTTAAGGTCTCTGAGGCCTCGATAAGCTTCTGTAAATCAGCCACCATCCAGCAGTGAGTTTTATTCCCTCCTCTCTCTCAGTGGATGTTGGGTTATGACCCGTAGGCAGGAGGTTATTTATTGCTTTTGTCTCAGCCTGTGTTGACTCCCAGCCACTCATCTAATGTTGGAGGGCAACAGAAAGCAGCACAGGATTGCAAGAGCCCTGCTTAGCTGCAGACATTCTGCTCAATAGTCCCCTCAGAGCCTTGCTCCTTAATGTCTCTTAATTTCTACTTTTTCACTAATGGCTGAATCCAAATGAAGCTAATTGGACTCGAGGTGAGGAGAATCTATCGATACGAATTATGGTTATAGAGAAAGGAGGCTTAAATGGCTGAAAAGACACCCACACAACACAAGTCTCCTGGCCTTCCTCATTTGTCAGACAGCGTTAGGGCCTTGAGGGAGGTTGTAAACACCAGAATAAAGGTACACCTTGAAGAAAAATCTGTCTACAGTTTTAAGCGCAAACCTATCATGCAAAAGTCTAGCTAGAACCCATTTCACACACTCACACACCACCAGCCCCACTAGCAGCTGTCATCTGCTCTAATTTAGACCTGAGCTTGGAGCACCTGAGCGGCCCACCTGCTGGTGCCAAGAGCCGCTGACAGGGAAGAGAAACAACCCCAGATTGACAATCAGTGATGGGGGTCCTTGAGTGATGACAGCGTGCGTAAGATGGAGGACTGTGATGTAATGGAGACAATGCGACTGACTGATATCAAGAAAGAGGCCAGAGTGTGCCGGCTCTACCTCACATCCATCCACACACCAGATCTATGCTGGCAACAGCTAACAGATGACACAGGAGTTATGTTTGTGCAGACTACATGTATGACTGGTGCATGTATCCCAGTATTACTAAATGTACATATGAAAGCTCCACAGATGAGTTTATATCACCATCCTGGATGATTAAATGTATGCTCCTTGCCCCAAGGGGGAAGTCAAGTCAAGCGTGTGTCGATTAGAAATGATCTCGTAAACCACTTCTGTGTTTGCTGTTTAGTCTTATCTGCCAGTGGTACGCTTAAAACACACCTTTTCACGGTGTGGGTTCCATTCCAACAGGGCATGTCACCAGACGCAAGCTCGCGCGCACACAGCTGATCTGCCAGGTCGCCATAGAACGTGCGGTAGTGACGAAGGCTGTTCACAAAGTCTCTGGGGAAGAAAAAAAGAGCGCACGCTTGTTTAGATGTTAGACTAATCAGAAATTCACACATCTTTCCCCACATACCTTCTCCTCGCAGCGAGAGAGTCTCCTACTGCTCTGATAGATGCTTTAAGCGGGATGGAAACTTGACTGCCGCTTTCCTGGATGCCGACTGACGGTGCGCGCTTCCTGCTAGGCGGGCCGCACCATTTGTAAACCTAAACATCATCATTACATATTGTCTCAATAAGAGTCATAAATGAGCCGAAGGTTTTCATGCAGCCATAAATGCATTTCTGACTGTACCTCATTCACTCAAGCAGCATATACTCTAGTTGACCACTAGATGAAGCTGTAGCATCTCAGTCATGACAGCAAAGTAAATGTAGCTCAGCAAAATTCAGGTAAATATATAGAATGACAGCTATGTGTGAATATTAGACTTTATGGTTTACTTTTAAAATGAAGATCCCAAATAAAAAGCATAAATGGGTAAATCGAGGAGTGGTTTGTTCCATTTATAGCCTGAATCGTCCTCTAGTTGGAGGTTTAAAAGCTTTGACTGATTTGCAGCTGCCAACTTGCACATTTTTCTGAAAAATGTAAACCTTCTTCAGTCTGACCCCTCAGTTTTCATGAGATCAGTGCTGTTTCAAAAAAGTTTATCTTTGGTCTAAACAATGCATACCTCCGATTCAGAGACAGAAGCAGAATACTCGAGAATAAAAACTGCTTCAGGTCATTGTAAAACACTTAAATCTGTTAGTTAACTGATCAGATCTGCAGGCGACGCCAGTTTCACCTCCCACACAGAACAACAGCACATTCTCAAGCCTACCATCTGAAATAATTTTCATTTTTTGCTCATGATCTTAACCTGTGTGGAGAGGCGAGCTCTGCTTTCCTCGGCTTGTCCGACAGCATCGTGAAGTGTCATGTGAACTCCCAGAAGCACATGCTCCAAATCCTGATCTCCATGCATTTTCGCTGACAGGCCCTCCAGCGAGCTAACAAACTCCCTCCAGTGGGTGTCAATCTCCGCCATGCTCGCCAAACAGCCCCGCATCACATTCAGGCAGTAACCCATGCAGGGTTTGGACTGGGTTAAGCCCTGGGGAGGAAATGACTGTGGGTTCAGTGCTGCCAGGAAAACGCTTCATTACTTTGGATCAATGTTTCAAAGTGTGCATTCATACCTGGCAGTGAGGGCAGTAGAGCATCTTGAGCAGGGCCCGTCTGCACTCGCGGCTCAGCTGTAAGTGGTCTGTGGTATTGATGACCTCGATGCCGAGATGCAGCGCTTGAAGCAGAAGCCTCCCAGAGACTCCAGAGCGAGTAATCTGATCGGCAAGGAGGTCCGGCGCCGCACCAAAAGGCCTAACATCACGACTGACTGACCTGACGCACTCAGCGTGAACCGGCGATAAGTCATCCACTCCTGGATTTATGTAGTGACTGTAGACCAGCGGGAAGAGGGCGTCGAAGAACCGCTGCACAAACTCACCAACGTTAAGCTCAGAGCCCAGGAGGAAGAGCCCGACGTCGGTGAAAAGTTCCCTGACTGTTTCTGAGGCCTGATCAAACATCTTCTGATACGACACCTGGAGCATGGCGTTGGTGTAGTTCTCGGCCTGCCTCATTAAAACATCAAAGTTCTCTGTGGAAACACAAAACAATGGAGATTTGGTTTATTTTTTAATGACAAAGAAACATGAGCTAATTTCACTGTGATCTTCTGCAATGGGTTGCTTAGCTGTTGAGAAGCTGAGGAAATAAAATAATCTTCAGCTCTTTGATTTTTCTTTTAATCCTTAACTGAGCTGACAAAGAAAGATAAGAGTGAGAAAGATCACAATGACACAAGAATCGAGACAGCTGTGTTAAAGGTGTGGAACACTCATTTAATCAATACATGTGTAAGTCGTACTCGGGGGCGAAAAAACACTGGTGGACCAACCCAGGAAAGGACATCTCGCCTTGGATTGGATAACAACAACGTGACTCAACCACTGACTTGCAAGATGGATGTTTTATCTCCACAAATAACAAAAGGCCTGGAGGAGATCTGCTGTGTGGTGTAGTTGGTAATGCTAACGGTTAGCTTCTACTAGCCCAAACATTCTCTGCTGTTTCCTGAACTCTAAACCAATCTCCCTGTCTCCAGTCAAGATGGGTCCATGAATGTTAAGTGACAATGTGACATAGATCTGTGAGGATTTTCAAATTCTAGAGTCTCACCGTCTATGTTTAAAACGCTAGGTGTAGCTGTCATGTTCTGTGTCCCTTTGTTCCCCAGCCCCTTCCTGTTCCCACTTCAGGCTCTCCTCTTGTGTCCTCCTAATCACTCCCTGGTTTTCCTAGTTGTCTTTAGATTAGTCCTCCTCACCCATCTGGTTATTAGAGGTTTATTTTTGCCCTCGGTCTTTTAGTTTTAGTTAGAGCCATGTTTTATAGGTTAATGTTTATCTGCCCTCCTGCCAAGCTCTTTCCCTTCCCATTTAGTTAATTGATTCCACCAGTTTCTCCTCAGCTCACACTCCTCACACCTGTCACCTGTTTCCCTGATTACCTCCCTCTTGTTTATAAGCCTTGTCTTGTCACTCTGTGTTTGTTGGTTCATTGTCTTAGGTCAGCGTTGTTTTGTCTCCAGTCTCCAGTCTCCAGTCTCCAGTCTCCAGTCTCCAGTCTCCAGTCTCCAGTCTCCAGTCTCCAGTCTCCAGTCTCCAGTCTCCAGTCTCCGGTCTCCGGTCTCCGGTCTCCGGTCTCCGGTCTCCGCAAGTGAGCTTTTGGTTTTTGGTCTTAGTTCAGTTATTAGGTTTTGGCTTTCTCCCCTTGGATTTTTGGTTATCTTCATAAATAAAGGATTTTACTTTTTCAACCGCTCCTGCCTGAGTGTTCTGGATTTTCTGCATCTTGGGTCCAAACCTCCCACTCTCAACGTGACAGTAGGAGACTTTTTTTCATGTTCAGCCTGCATGAAAATCTCAGAGTGACCGACATGAAAACGGATCTTTTTAAAAACTCCGGCCAAAGTGAAGATCTGCGTTTTCTCCGTTTTGGGTGTCTGCGTGTGGACAGACAAAACCGGAGTTTTAAGGTCTGCAACGTCACTTTCCGCGACAAAAAAATGCTGACATCACGTGTGCGACCTGTGTTTACACTAGCCGACAGCATGGAAGCCCTCAGAGCTGCGCTTGCTTTATCAATTGTCCAAGCGCTTTTTGCTTGTTTGTTTTTGCAAGCGGAATTACTGCACCTTGCGGAAGACCACAGACGAAGGACGAGGTTAAGAACGGGGGAAGTACTGCCGCCTACAGGTCTGGCATGTCCTTAACAACGTATTTATCCGGGTACGTGTGGAGAGTTTTTTTTTTTAATGAGGTGGTGTGGATGCAGGTTTTTGGAGGGGCGGATATTTGTTTTGTTTTTTTTAAACTGCTACGTGTGGACTAGGCCTGAGTCCACTGATCTCGGGGGAGAGTTCCAGAGTCTGGAGGCCACAGCAGCAAATGATCTGTCACCTTTGGTCTTTAGCCTGGTGCTGCACAGCCAGTAGGCTTTGGTCACCGGTCACATGATGAGAGGCAGGTGATAAAATGAAAGAAAATACAGGTGCTGGCCAGTAAATTAGAATATCATCAAAAGGTTGAAAATATTTCAGTAATTCCATTCAAAACGTGAAACTTGTACATTATATTCATGCAATGCACACAGACCAATGTATTTCCAATGTTCATTACATTTAAATTTGATATTCATAAGTGACAACTAATGAAAACTCCAAATTTGGTATCTCAAAAAATTAGAATATTCTGAAAAGGCTGAATATAGAAGACACCTGCTGCCACTCTAATCAGCTGATTTACTCAAAACACCTGCAAAGGCCTTTAAAAGGTCCCTCAGTCTTGTTTTGAAGGCACCACAATCATGGGGAAGACTTCTGACTTAACAGCTGTCCAAAAGACAATCATTGACACCTTGCACAAGGAGGGCAAGACACAAAAGGTGATTGCTAAAGAAGCTGGCTGTTCGCAGAGCTCTGTGTCCAAGCACATTAACAGACAGGCGAAGGGACGGAAAAAATGTGGTAGAAAAAAGTGTACAAGCTCTAGGGATAACCGCACCCTGCAGAGAATTGTGACGACAAACCCATTCAAAAATGTGGGGGAGATCCACAAAGAGTGGACTGCAGCTGGAGTCAGCGCTTCAAGAACCACCACGAGGAGACTCATGAAAGACATGGGATTCATGTGTCGCATTCCGTGTGTCAAGCCACTCTTGAACAAGAAACAGCGCAAGAAGCGTCTCGCCTGGGCCAAGGACAAAAAGGACTGGACTGATGCTGAGTGGTCCAAAGTTATGTTTTCTGATGAAAGCAAGTTCTGCATTTCCTTTGGAAATCAAGGACCCAGAGTCTGGAGGAAGAGCGGAGAAGCACAGAATCCACGTTGCATGAGGTCCAGTGTAAAGTTTCCACCGTCAGTGATGGTGTGGGGTGCCATGTCATCTGCCGGTGTTGGCCCACTCTGTTTCCTGAGGTCCAGGGTCAATGCAGCCGTCTACCAGGAAGTTTTAGAGCACTTCATGCTTCCTGCTGCTGACCAACTTTATGGGGATGCAGACTTCACCTTTCAACAGGACTTGGCACCTGCACACAGTGCCAAAACCACCAGCACCTGGTTCAAGGACCATGGTATCCCTGTCCTTGATTGGCCAGCAAACTCGCCTGACCTTAACCCCATAGAAAATCTATGGGGTATTGTGAAGCGGAGGATGCAATACGCTAGACCCAACAATGCAGAGGAGCTGAAGACGACTATCAGAGCAACCTGGGCTCTCATAACACCTGAGCAGTGCCACAGACTGATCGAGTCCATGCCACGCCGCATTACTGCAGTTATTGAGGCAAAAGGAGCCCCGACTAAGTATTGAGTGCTATACATGCACATTCTTTTCATGTTCATTCTTTTCAGTTGGCCAACATTAGAGAAACAAACATTTTTTCATTGGCCTTTAGAATATTCTAATTTTCTGAGATACCAGATTTGATGTTTTCATTGGTTGTCACCTATAAATATCAAAATTAAACGTAATAAACATCGGAAATACATTGGTCTGTGTGCATTGCATGAATATAATGTACAAGTTTCACGTTTTGAATGGAATTACTGAAATATTTTCAACCTTTTGATGATATTCTAATTTACTGGCCAGCACCTGTAGAACAAAAGCTAAACATGGTTTATATATTTGTATAATTTCATCATAAACTGCTTTTTGCTGGTTGTCTTTGTGTTGTCAGACATGACAGAATAACATTACCACAAAGGAAATGTTTCACCAGTGTAACCAGCCCCCTTTTAACCATTTGTCTGTCTTTTTTTGGCTTTGTCTCAGCTAATTCCTGATCCATGGCCACTCTGAGCTCATGTGCCTGTCAGGAGTTGTGAGGTAATAATCACGCTGAAAGCCCAGCGATGCTGGGAGGGGAGGGCAACCAGTGTGATGAGGGCTTAGATGGCCCAGTGGTGTATAATCCACACCGATGTGGACAGATTGACTGAAAGCCTCTGAGTGATGGGAGCTGTGAGGCAAAGGTGTGAGGCCATTCCTAGAGCCACAGCATCTCTCAGGTGGGAGCATTAAACTCTGAGGTACCAGGAACTCAACCTTATCTCGGGTCCTCTGTGATCTTACTTGGATGTGTTATGTCTAACAAGATCTGAGAGTGAAAGATGTGCTTTTGTGTGTGAATTTAAAAAAACTGCACCTCCCACACAGCAAGCCTTCTGGTCAAAGAGCAAAGCAGAAATCAGAGATGAAATCTGTAAAGAAAAGCAGAGACAAGAGCAGCAGAAGAAATGTGTGTGAGCAGATGAAACGGAGACATGATGTGTGCTGCTGGAGTACAATTTGAGATTATCAAAGCCCTCAGTTAGATGCAGAGCAGTAGAGCTGAGAAGGCTCCCACAGGGATTACAGCACACGTTTCATGAGGGGTTAGAACAATAGATTAGAGAGTTAATTAATCCCATCTGTCAAACTTTATAACAATAGTCTGAGCTGTAAACTGATTTTTTTTTGTCTTTCATCTGTCGTCACTTTTCTGTTATGCTTCAAACACAAATCATCTAAATGAACGTCCCTCACTAGTAGAAAAGCAACAAACAGATGTATGAAATAATTAGAAAATGAGGAAAAAAAATTTAATCCAACAAAAAAAATTGCAAACAAAAAGGTTAAAGAAGTTATTTTAATTAAAACCTGATTTTATTTTTTTAAAATTTAGTATAGTAGAGGATTTACTTTGATTTATTTTACTAAAACACACTATTTCTGAAAAACATATTATTTCAGTCCCACATTTTATCTTTACTGAGTTACAAAAATACCATCTTTGAGAAATGTAAAGTTTTGGTTTTCAATCCCCGCACAAAAATGTGCTCAAATAGCATTAATTAAATAAAGGAAATGGTGTAAAACAGCATCTCTTTGAGGCTTTAAGCATTAGCAAAGGCTTCTGGGTTCGCCCGAGGACAAAAACGCCACGAGGAAAAACTAAAAACGGGGATGCTGCTGAAAGTCTTTTTTTCCTCTGATTTTAGATTTTCTAATTAAATTTAACCATGCAGAAAAGAGCAACTGTGTCTATTTTTG